TCTCAGGGGCGGAGAGGGGCTTGCAGAGACCAGAATCCTGGCTATTTGAGACCTGCGCGCGAGGCTGGTCCTGTGCGACGCTTTCTCGCCATCATCTCCTTTTCCCCTTTCATCCCTCTTTGCCATCTCTGCTTGGCCCTTCTGGGACCAGCCTTTCCTCCCCAACCCCCCTTACAAAATAATCCCATAACACGTCACAATCTCTTCACTCCCTCACAAACCATAAAGAAGCATAAAGCTTGCAGACCCCAAGGACCTAAACATTTCGAAGAGACAAATAAATGTATGTGCGCGCACGCACACACACACACACCCACACACACCAATATTGTCTACCGCTGACCACTGACCTTTTATTTCCTCCTCTCTGCTTGGGGTGGAGGAGCAGAATGCAGGCTTTCAGTTCGTGATTACTTCAGCAAATATTGAGTCTGCCCGCCAGACATCAGAGATGGTCAGAACAGTCCCGCTGCCCCTCAATTGCAGTAGAGGCTATGAAGGCATAAGCAGAGCTACAGGATTTGTGATGGGAAGGAAGAAGGAAAGGTTTTCCTCTACCAAACTTGAGGGTCAATGATGATTTCTGTAAGGAAGTGGAGGTTGAACTATTTTTGTCCTCATGTTTCATAAAGTTGCTAAAATGAATGTGTATTATTTGTATGACTTATTTCAAAAGGAAACTGTTGTCGTGATAAATGGATAACTAAAATCAATCGTCATAGACAAGCAGAACCATCAAAATTAATGCAATGAAAGCAACAGGTGGCAGCTGCCTTGGCGCTAAGGCAGAAGGCGGTGAGCCTCAGGCCTGCTGTCTGTCTCAGCAAGGAAGTACCCAACATGGAAAGGGTTTAGAGACACAGCTGGGCACAGTAGCTCCTTGGGATTATGATGGGACTGGTCACAGTCACTCAGGAAAAGCCGACAGGGTCAGATGAAGGTGCAGTTTTAAGAGGTCACTGGTATTGTGCACTGGAGCCCCCCTTCTTCTGGAAAGCAGCTGTGGCATTTGTGAAGTGTAAGTGACCATCCTTATCAGGTCTCATAGGAGGTCTGACCTGGTATCTGTTGGGTAAGTGGAAGTTGTCAGCTTTTTCCCACCCTCCCACTATTAATAGCAATGATGGACACCTGTGGTTTTTTTTTTAATATTTATTTATTTATGCATACAAGAACTGGGGAACAGACCAGAGGTGCAGTGGGTGAGAGAATTCATCAGAGACCGTGGGGAGCAAAACAGGCAGATGTACTGAAATATATCACTGAGGGGAGCAGCGGGGGGTCAGGAGAGGTCTGCCATGCTATACCTGTGGTCTTACACACATGCTTGATGGCATCTGGTGCGTGGTGTGGGTGTACCTGAGTGGGTGCAGCTGAGCCAGAGAATGAGCCTATGAGGGTGGCAGTGGCGGCAGCAGAGAACAGGGAGGCAGAGAGCGGTGGAGAGTGTCAGAGGGGCCAGAGAATAGCTAAGAGAAGAAAGAGCATATGGGGCTCACGGGGGGCCAAGTTGCTGTCTCCCTCTGGCTCGTCTCCCTAACCTATGGGGATGATGCCAAGGACTCCAAGTTTCTCGTGCAAGCTGCCTGAACCAATGATGGACCTACCTGGCCTGGGGTAGTTACAGAACAGTATCTAAGCGTTAAAAAAAAAGGAGGGCAAATTTGCCAGGAGAAGGGAACAGGGTAAGGGACCTTTAGGCAGAGGAAGCAATTTGTGCTCACTATTAGGAGGACTTCTGGGAAGAAATAGGTTTGAATTGGTCAGCTTGATGCAATGTCATTGAAGGCTGGAGATTAGTTCTGTGTCACTTATCCCTGGGGATACAGCTGAGAAGTGTGTCCTTAGGTGATTTCATTGTTGTGGGAAGGGCATTGAGAGGGAAGCATGGTGACGCAAGCGTGCCTATCTTTGTAGTCACTCAGTACAAGGAAAACTTTTCTAAAGATTGAGTGGGCAGACTTGGGGGGGCCTGTCACTGAATTATGCCGAGAGGCTGGCCACTGGTCTCCACTGGTGGAGGGCAATTGACCAGGAAGCCAGGACCCATGTCCAGGGAAGGCATGACCCGCCAGGGATCACCAAATTCTTGTTGCTGGTCCCCTCTGCTGGGGAGAATGAGCTAGGGTGAGTCACAGCCTCCTTAAGCTGGTTTAGGCATCTCTGAAGAGGGTTTGCCCCTTTCCTCTCACCCAAGTGGGCAGAAGGATCCAACCGGGTGGCTCCAGGAGCATGAATCCATCACTAGCCAGCAAAGAGGACATGGGTCTCCTTCCCTATGTCATCGAAGGTACAGGTTTGAGACCCTCTCCCTCCACCCATGCTGTGTAACCAACTTATGTCAATTTGCACTTGACTGTCTCAGTTTTAGTGTGCAAAGTCCCCTGTCCTGGGAACCCCTCTTCCTGGGGAAAGCAGGAGGCTTAGTCATTCTCACTGTGGCTCCATCTCTCAATGACATGCCATGCTGGATAAATGGGCACCTGGTATGAATGGGCCCCTGCCCCATGGACTGTGCATTCTGGGCAGCCAACCAGATAGATGTTGGGCAACAAATCCACAAAGAAGGAATTAGACCATTTCTAATTACTGTGGAATAAATTACTCCAAAATTTAGCAGCTTGAAACAACGATAAACATTATCTCACACTGTTCCAAATGGGTCAGGAACTCAGGAGGGGTTAGCTGGGCTGGTTCTGGCCAAGGTCTCCCGCGTCACTGCAGTCAAGATGGCAGCTTTACGGTCATCATCCGAAGACTTGGCTGGGGAGGCAGGATCTGCTCCCAGATGGGTTGCTTACACACCTGCAAGCCAGTACTGGCTGCTGGTCGGGGCCCTCAGTCCCTTGCCACATAGGTTTCTCCAGGTGTTGCTTGTGTGTCTTCACTTCCTGGCAGCTGGCTTCCCTCCAATCAAGAGATCGACTAGAAAGAAAGGGGGAACCTTTCAGAATTTTTATGATCTGACCTTGCAAGGCACACTCTGTCATCTCTCCATATCCCTCTGATTGAACATGTCAGCTCTGCTCTGTGAGGGGTGTGTAGGGTAAGTGAATTGCTCAGGCTTTCACACCGTTGGCCCCTGTGGCTATCACCTGCAGCCTTGAATGCAGAAGGCGCTTGCGAGTGTGGGCATGGGGCACACGTGCCTGATGGTGGACACCTGGAGGATGGTGTGGGCATGTGTAAGTGGGCACATCTAAGCCTGGAAACTGAGCCTATAAGGGCAACATCACTCAGCAACCAGAGACGGCTACATGGGAGTGGCCACAAGAGGCCAATGACGGCTACCAAAGAAAGAGACCACGAGACGATGCCAGAGAGAGACGAAAGAGAAAGAGTAAAGATTCACCCACTGGTCTCCCAGCCCCCAGCCTTCCTGCCTTGCCAGCTGCAGGCTTCCCCCACAACAGTTGGTGTAGAAAGAGCATTAACGCCTGAAAAAGCCACTGAGGGTCCAGGACTCTGCTTTAGCCATCTGCCCGGACTGATAGAGAACCTGCCCCATGCTTGCTGGTGCAGCAGATGTGCGAACACCAGCACACGAGAGTCGTGGGGCCATCTTGGAGGCTGGCTGTCACAATCAGGTTTCGCCTGGGGCCCCATTTAACTACTGGGATGGAGCTCAGTTCTATCACTGTCTTCCGGGAGCATCATCATCTGTCCTAGCATCTCTCCCTCCCCTTCTCTGAGCTCCCTTCCCACCCAGCACTGAGTTGTGACATCTCTTTCTTTTGAATCTGTCCATGCTCCCTTTGGCTGGAGCTGATCCATCCTGTTCACCTCCCTTCCTCCCTTCCCAAAGCCACCCCCATGGAATCTACTTTCATAACTCTTTGCCAAGACCTGCTGCCCAAGCCGTGAAATGAAATGAGAGGAATCAGAGACAAAGACAGATGGGCAGAGCTGGGCAGAGAGGAGCGGGCAGGTTCATAAGTGTAAAATATGGACAAACCTGCCATCATCTATTCCCTGGGACAAATAGATCATCACCAAATGAGCTGCTGAAGAGCAAAGAGACAAATTACCCAGCTGTGTCAGTGTCACCTGCTCCTTATTGATGGGCTTTTAGGCTCAAGCCCAAATGCTCTCTGAGAATTGCAACGCCCCTGGTCCTAGGAGACCCGGCAGCGTAGTGATAGGGACAAAAAGCTTTTGTATCTCAGCTAGAGCAGGAGCTGCACTGCCAGACTGGCTTTCTCTAATATGCATCATATGCATATTTAAGTGATGAGACTTTGACACAGTGCTACATAAAAACATTAACAAAATGCCACCCACGTATAAACTGGACCTCATACAAATGCCAGAAAAAGAAACTCTGTATTGAACACTTTCAAAGCCCCGCGAGCGCAAGCTATTCATGCTACTGTCACAAGGTGGCGCCATCGCAACCGGGAAACAAATGACCGCAAGCTGCATCATTACCGAACAAATCACTGTTAGCGTGTTTTGGTCTTTAGCAACTGCTTTTTGTGGCTATTGAGCTCTTCATTTCCAATCCACTGTGATTATAAACCACTTTCAAGAGCTATAACAGCATCATTCAAAAATTCTTGTAATAGAGATAGTCTGCTTCAGTTTGTGCTGAAAAACACATCCCCCAAGCAATACCTTTGGGGTGAATCCTGGAACATGCTAAAAC